TATAGAATACCATCTGGGATGGGATTTGCTAGGAATCAGTTTGTAAACAAGAAGGAAGCGATCTTACAAGACACAGTGACTGAGAGACCCTCTTAAAGGATGCAGGCCTCCTCCATAACTGCCAAACTTTGGGGAAGTAGGTCCTCAGTACTGGGGAAAACAATGAATAAATGAATATAGTGGCAGGAGAGAGATTTAACCTGATAAAACGCTAATGCAATAATAAATAATAAATAAGTTCCCTTTTTTAAAGATCGAGTAGTTTTTTAATTCATTTTATTTTCATATATGTGGGTGTAGGTACCTGTAGAAGCTAAAAGGGTGTTGGCTCCCCTGAAGCCGGAGTTATAGGTGTTTGAGCTTCCTGATGGGTGCTGAGAACCTAACTCAGGTCCTCTGAAAGAGTAATAAGTGCTTTGAACTACCGAGGAGCTTTTCAGGTCCTAAAGTTTCTTTTTTGTGTTTTGGAGGCAGGGTATATCTCTGACTGGCCTGGAGTTCACTATGAAGACCAGGCTGGCTTTGAACTCAGAGATCCTCCTGCCTCTGCCTCCCAGAGTGATGGGATTTAAAGGCATGGAATTTGAGTGTTTGGGTTTGTTTTGTTTTGTTAAGATTTTAAGGTAGACGTGGTGGTGCATGCATTTAATCCCAGCACTCAGGAGGCAGAGGCAAGGTGGGTCTCTTGAGTTTGAGGCCAACCTAGTCTACAGAGCGAGTTCCAGGACACCCAAGGCTACATAGAGAAACCCTGTCTTATAAAACAAACAAACAAAAACAGAAAGGAAAGAGGAAAGAAAGACCAAAAGATTAATTTTTAATTATATGTCTATCAGTGTGGGAGAAGGTGCTGGTGCCCATGAAGGCCAGTGGCATTGGATCCCCTGGAACTGGAGTAACAGGTATTTATGGGTACCTGAAATGGGCGCTGGAATCCTGACTCCGTTCTACATACTACAGCAGCAAACACTCTACACCCCTGAATCATCTCTCCAGCCCTGTGGTTTTTGCTATCGTAGGTAATGTAGCATAGGACTTCAGGTGTCGCTCAGTGGTGGAGGGCTTACCTAGCATGTGAGGCCCTGGGTTTGAGCAGCAAAGCCACAAGCAAATAAAGAATACAACGGGGAGTGGAAAACCTGGGAAACTCATGTGTCTCTGCAACTTGTGTGCAAGCATCCACGTGTCGAACCCCTGCCAGTGAAACTCCGCCGTCATGACAGGAGCTGACACCTGCATGGAAATGTGTACGTGCATTGTGATCGCTTAGGCTTCCATCTCTTTGTACGGAAAGGCATTTCGGGGTTCCAGTGCTGGTGTCTGCTGTCACCTTATTCCGAGGACTCTGCTCTCTGCTGCCTCTCAGCCGTTCCAGGAAGGCAGCTCCTACCAAAGCGTACAAAGTAGAAAACCGGGTCCTTTCCGGTTGCCTCCAGAAGGAAGAGGTAACTAAGTGTATGAAAGCTTAAAGAAAAGATGAGGTCATGGCGGCTGCTGAGCACCCCTGATTGGCAAGGGGGTTTCATGCAACTGATTCTGGGATCTTTGCTCAAAGGTGCCACAAGTACAAGCCTGCAGAGGCTCTTTCCATAATGAAAGAAAGCATAGGGTATCTGCAGCCACACGTATAAAATACCTGTAGAAGTGTCAGTGCGTGGGGGACGTGTCCACGTCACCAGTGCAAGTCCTATCCCTTCACCACGGACTAGCAGTCCCTCCTTGGTCCATTGGTCCCCAGTCTTATCTTCTGGTCCTCCCCTCTCCATGTTGGTAGGAGAAGCAGACTGTGCCTCCCGATTGCACCTCAGATGCTGTACACTGAAGATGTATACACACATAATTTAAGAGCGACAGCAGTCCGTATGTGCTGCCAAGTAAGGCACTTGGGTTTGTGCTGGCTCCCTGCAGATCTCATGGTGCCCACAAATAGATCCAGCCGCCCGGGACCTGGAGCCCCAGGTGTGCCTGAGGAAGGTACTGTGGAAGGCTTATTCTGAGAAAGGCTCAAGAACATAAAAAATGGTCAACAAGGAGTGGGGACCACCTTGGTAGCTTAAAGTCTGGACTGTGTGGATGGGGACCAGAACGGAAGAGATGGTATAATCAATTCAGTGCTGTTCAGATGCATATGCAGGCTATTTTATTGGCTCGCTCTATCTGTGACATTAATAAGATTAGCTGTAAGGATAGTTCCTCGTCAGATTGGAGAGGTATTTATAGCCCATTTCCTAATTACATAATTCAAATGGAGTAGTAGGCAATAATACAGTAATAGCTTCAACCGTCTTGTCGCTTAAGTGTGTTTAGGAATGACAGGTTTCCTTTTCTCTCATGCGTGAGGTACGGGGTGCATTGTTCAAACATCTGGCATCAAGTTCTAATCGTATCCTACAGAAAAGCCACAAACGCAGAATTTTATTAATAGTAATATTCCCTCCCTCTCTTCTGGGGGTGTGTGCATGCATGAGAGAGAGAGAGAGAGAGAAAGAGAGAGAGAGAGAGAGAGAGAGAGAGATGTCAGATAAATTGTTGATCATATAAATTGTCTTTTCCCTTAGACTAGAAGAGAAATCCACCTCTTAGACTGTTCAGCTCCTTTTTAAGAGCAAAGCAAGTAGGAGAACTATACGTTTCTAAGGTTCTCTTTATTGCTGGTGTTTCAATCTGCATCTCTCATCTCCCCCTCCCCCCCTTTTTTTCCTTTTCTTTTTTAAGTGAGTCTTGCTATGTGGCATAGCCTGGCTAGGGAATTGCCATCCCCCTGCTTCAGCTACTCAAGTCCTGGGATTGCACGGCCACATCTGGCTCCAGGTGTTTTCCAGCGGTATAGCTGTGCTACCCTATCCTCGTCTGAACCAGCCTCCTTTTGCTTTTCCTAAAACGACTGCCAACTCCCAGACCCGCTGGACTGGGAGGCCCTCGAGTCACAGCACCTCTGCTGCTTGAGTGGCATGGGAAACACTCCCGGCGTGTTTCAAGTTCACAACAGCCAGAAGCGGGGTTAACATATAACCTACGTGGGGACAAAAAGACCATAGTCATTGTTTGCTGGGCGAACAAAGCTAAATCAAGTTCCTTTTGTTTTTGAGACAGGATATCATGTAGTGTAGCCCAGGCTGGCCTTAGGCTCCCTATGTAGCCAAGGATGGCTTTTGAAACTCACATCCTACCATCTCTCCTTCCTAAGTGCTGAGATCACAGGCTTGTTTCACCATGTGCAAAACCCAGGCTTTGTGCACTCTAGGCAAATGCTGTGTGTGTGTGTGTGTGTGTGTGTGCGCGTGCGTGCGTGCGTGCGTGCGTGCGTGCGTGCGTGTGTGTGTGTGTGTGTGTGTG